ATATTTAGCCATTCTGAATACATTATAATGATGTTATAATTTTATGAATATAGTTTTATTTACTATGCTTCTTTCTCTACATGGTATTTTTTGACACCCTATTTTGTTAATTTCTTTTGGCATTCTATCAACTGTGACATATTATTTTGTTGTATATTTGTTGCATTTTTCTTTCTACATGACATGTTTACCTTTTAAGAAAAAATAATTATGTGTCATTTAGGAATGTTTATATCTCTGTTCTAGCTGTTACTGTTATACAACTAGAGAAACCCAATATCAATCTCATTCTCTTCCCCTTGTAAATTGCTTGATCTTTTTGCCTGGAAGTCATAACTATGTTTTCTTTCTTGCTTCTGTTTGATAACTTTAGTAGAGTATGTCTTTTAGTTGATTGTGTCAGGTTATTTTCCTATGGTACTTGGTTAGACCCTTCAATTTGTAGATTAGGAATTCATTTATTTCCAAAAATTTTTTTCATGATTTACAATTAATTCTGTTCCACTGTTTTGATCTTCTCTGGTGACTCTACAGATACGTAAATTCAATGTTCTTCGCTTGTCTTCTAGTTCAACTACATCCTAACTCATTTTGCTTGTTTTTCAAATTTCATTTTCATTCTCTTCATGGTTTTCCTGGTTTTTTCAACATTTCATATTACTTTTTCCTTCAAATCTATTTTTTAGACACCTTATAGTTTAATCATTACTTTTGATATAATTTTGTCTTATTCTTCATTCCTAGAGTCTAGTCATCTATCACTTCATTTCTTCCTGTTTATTGAACATTGATGTAATTAGTTTTTGATTTCTGAATTTTTTTTTTTTTTTGAGTTGGAGTCTCACTCTGTCGCCCAGACTGGAGTGCAGTGGCCGCTCCCGGCCACCGCAGCCTCGACCTGCTGGGCTCCAGTGATCCTTCTGCCTCAGCCTTCTGAGTAGCCGGAATTACAGGCATGCGCTACCACGCCCGGCTGATTTTAAGATTTATTGTAGAGATGAGGTCTCGCTGCCCAGGCAGGTCTTGAACCCGCGGGCTCAGGCAATCCACTCACCTCAGCCTCCCAAAGGCACAGGATTACAGGCTGAGCCACCGAGCCTGGCTGATTTCTGATTTTAATGTTTCTAACGCATATCTAATTGCTTGTTTTAGGGTATTTAATAAAATTATATGGTTGTTACTTGAAAATATCATATTATCACATGTACTTTGAAAATATGTAGGTCTTGAATCATTTGTATACCTAACTTGAATTGTACTCCACATCTTTAAAAAATAAAAAAAAGTAGGTCTGTCACATATATTACATAAAAAGTAACTTTAATAGCATATACAAATTATATGGTTTTATTAAATTTTTTCCTGCTTTACTATTATTTTCCTGGGGACTGAGTTTCAACAGCTGAATTATTTTTCTCCATCTATGTATTTTTAAAAATAAAATAGTTTTGAATAGACAATGTTTGCTCCTCAGGATTTCTGTGTATTGCATTATGATTTGGATGGTTTGTAAAATTTTTAATTCAAGAGTACCCTCTCCTAGTAAATATTCCAAGGTATGGTTCCTTTACTGTATAGCTCTTTAGGGAAGAAGGTGCTGTGGGTAGAAGGGATATGTGTCCTTCCAGTTAAATTTTTTCTTTTGTTTTACACAATCTAAATCTTTCTTTTATTCTTTTCCCGCTCCACTATGTGATTTCCAAACAGCTGCCTTCCCTTTAACTCTCCTCTGCCTTTAAGTTTACCTTTTTAACATTGTTTTTTTGCATCTCACATGTCCTTTAAATGCATTCTACCGGAACGGTTTTTCATATTTTCTTTTTTTTTTTTTTTTTTGAGTTGGAGTCTCACTCTGTCGCCCAGACTGGAGTGCAGTGGCCGCTCCCGGCCACCGCGGCCTCGCCTGCTGGGCTCCGGCGATCCTTCTGCCTCAGCCTTCCGAGTAGCCGGAATTACAGGCATGCGCTACCACGCCCAGCTGATTTTTTTTTTTTATTGTAGAGATGAGGTCTCGCCTGCCCAGGTGGGTCTCGAACCCGCAGGCTCAGGCCATCCACTCACCTCAGCCTCCCAAAGGCGCGGGATTACAGGCTGAGCCACCGAGCCCGGCTTTTTTTCATATTTTCACAATGAAGGTTGACTTTCTCTTTCTGGGGGTGATTTCTATTTTTAAATTTTATTTCATTACTTTGTTTTTTTGAGATGGAGTCTCACTCTGTCGGCCAGGATGGAGTACAGTAGCACGCTGATGGCCACTGCAGCTTCAACCTGCTGGACTCAGGTGATTCTTTCATCTCAGCCTTCCAAGCAGCTGGAACCACAGGCGTGCACCACCATGTCCAGCTAATTTTTTGATTTATTATAGAGATGTGGTCTTGCCAAGTTGCCCAGGCTGGTCTCAAACCCATGAACTTAGACAATCCTCTCACCTCTGCCTCCCAAAGTGCTGGGCTTATACGCGTGAGCCACCGTACCTGGCAGTAATTTTTAAAAAAATCAACCTGAGGCCTGCCACAGACATCTCAACTCCTTCTTTTGTACAGTTTAATTTTTCCTGGATTCCTCTGCTCCTAATAGCTTGTTATAGGAGCATGAGATACTGCTTGAATTTAGTGTTTATTTTTCTACCCATATGCAATGTGAAGTTTGTTTAGTGTCTTCTAGTTATGCTGAGAGGTCAGGTTTTGTGTGGTTTTATTACTGGTCTTTTTAACGTTTTTATAGGACATGTTGATTCAAATTTGCATTATGGCCATTACCTCAGCTATCCAAAATTCCTCACCTTGTTTTCTTAAAAGCAGATTTGGGGATATTAAGAATTCTAGGAATGTTCCAATCATCATGAGAACATGCTTCTTTCCTGATCACTAGTTTTTAATAGTTTACTATGTTTATTATGTAGCCCTCTTTCTTGTTGGGTAGCAATTGGTACGTACCTCTTCGGCTACTTTTCACATATCTTATTAAGTATTTGGGTATATTTCACATATCTTATTAAGTATTTGGGTATAGAAATTCTGAAGTAACTTTTGATCTGTTATTTAACCTTGCATGGTTAAATGTTATTTAACCATACATTTGTTTTTTATAGTATCAAGATGTTCACTACTACTCTTGCTCTGTTTATATTAAAATACCTACAACTAGAAATTAGATTTAAATACTAAATAAATGTCTTTTATATGTAGAATCATCATAAACAAATCTACTCAGAGTATGAATTAGTTTTTAAAGTATACATATTCTGGATTGTGATAGTGAATCAAATTTACTATTTGGTTTATAAAAAACTATTTATTACAATACTAAAATAGACTAGGGCCCTTTGAGAATCATTTCAACAACCAACTTAAAGGAAGCAGAAAATTCAGTTCAACTCAATATTCATGGCACGTACGTCTTCTGGATAACTGAATTTTTACATCCTTACATCCTATGATACTCATCCATTATATACTTATCAACAAATATTTAATAGTTACCTATTATGTATTAGACTCTTGTAATATACTGGTGAAAATGATGCATAAGATCTGTACCCTCATGAAGCTTAGATTTCAGAAGGGTGTTCATAGATAAGAATCATAATATAACGTATGGCAGCATGACAGAGCATGCCCGGGATGGGTGCAGATGGGGATGGGAGTGGCTACTTAAGGTATGGCAGGCAATGAAATCTTCTTTAGAAATAGGATATTTGAACAGAGACCTAATAGTCTACCATGCAAAGCACCTTAAGAAAAAAGTTTCACAGCAGTAGAAAAAGCAAGTGCAAAAATGGTCAAGGCGGGAAGCAGCCTGAAGGAACAGCTAGGAGGTCAGTTTGCTGGGGCTGTATAGAACAAGGCAAATAATTGTAGGGAATGAAGCAGAAGCTGGCAAAAACAAGATCATGTAGGAGGCCATGATAAGAAGTTTGCATTTGATTCTAACTGCCATTGAATACCATTAGGGAGTTTTAAGCAGGGTTATAATATTTCCTGATTTATGTTTTAAAAGGTCACTGATTACTGTGTGGAGAATGGACTGTGAAGGGACAAGAATGGGAGATGAAAGACCAATGAAAAACTGTGGCTACAGCTGAGCCAACAGGCTTGCTGCCAATGGCTGAGACTAGGGCTGTAGTGATGGAGATGAGTCAGTGTATATAACATGTTTGGATGGAGAGCAGATTCCCCTGAGGTAGAGGATTATCGTTCTTCTTCTAGTCCTCACACATATCAGAAGAGGCAGAACTGAGAAAAAAAGATAAAAGATATGAGCACCGAATCATACTAGCAATACTCATCTAAGCCAAAGCATTAGAATAACAGCTATAGCCCATCCTATGGGATGGAAAGAAAAGTGCTTTGAACATAATAAGCTATTGACATTTAAAAATGAATAGGTTGTGTCTTAGAAACTGAAATGGGGCCATAAAAATCAAAGTAGCCTGAAAAGTTATGGAATTAGACTGAGATGTTGTTCAGGAAGACGTGACCCAGTGGGAGAGAGGCTGATACTGCACATTTGAAAGCAGCAAAAGGAAAAAATAAAAGCTTCATGTATGTTCCTGAAGTTTTCCAGAATACTCAATAAATCAGTTAACAAAAGTGATTCAAGAATGAGGAAGTGGTCAAGTTATGTCAAAAACTGCTGAGAAGTTTAACAGGATAATGACAGAGAACTGACTTTTGCAGTTCTCTGCAATATGGTAGTGGTTGGTTACCCTGATAAGTCATTTTAGTAAAGTGGTAGAGATACAAAGCTAAACTGGAAGAGGTAAAGAGAGTACATAAAGTGAGGAAATAAAAGTAACAGTCACAGGCAAGTTTTCTGAGAAGGTCAGCCACAAACAGATGAGAAAGAAACAAGGGCAGATCATCTTAAATCATAATTATATCTTAATTTCTAGCAGGCTTCACAGAGACGTCACTATTATTCTCTGGCAATTCTCTGCAACCAAAATATAGATGGTGCATAAAAAAAAAAGTAACTTTCAGATATATTTTTTCCCTTACCTTCACTGATTAAATTTAATGCGTCTTGTTTTCCATCTCCTTGTGACTGGCCTGGATCCAGTGAAGTCTGAGAAAGGCTAACTTCTGCCGATAACTGGTCAAGACTTTGATAACTTTTCCTGTGAAAATAGGATGAAATACTACTTAAATTCTACTCACAGAGAATTTCTAGACAGCTTCTTTAATGGTTTTCAATTTGTTGAATTTCTGGCTAATTTTCCCCCGACATTTCCCCTAAATTTTGCATCATAATCATGACTTCAATATTATCTCTGTCACGCTTTTCCCTCTATGCTCTTTGGAAGTATATCTGCTTAAGCCATTAAAAAACAGAAAAGAAAAACAATTTTTCAAAGAAAATCATCACATCAATTTTTGATTATCCAGATGGTTAAGAAATGGAAACTTATAGTTGTTACCAGTTCTTGTCAAACAGAAAATCTATAGATTACGCTTAATGAGAAACAAAACTGGCATAACAATAATGACCTGGTGTCTCCTAAGCACTTCAAAACTCTTCAATACAGAGGGTTATTACATAACAAAAAATTATTACAAATTCATATAATTTAGATGTTTTAAAAATGTTGGGTAATAAAACACCTGTTGGTATTAATATACCTTGAAAATAATTAACCTCTCTCCCCTATTTGCTATTTTGAGCTTCATTTCCTATTATTAAAAGTGAATTATAATAGAGGATAAACTCAGGTATAAAAGGACAGCTAATGAAAGTTTATTATAATCTTTTCCCATATTTGGTTGTTCAGGATAAAACCAACTCAAAAGATACACTCAGTGTTCAGTGTTATACATTTCAAGTAAGAAAACAAAACCCATCATTATTTACAAATTTAAGTGGTCTTAGAAAAGGAATATGTTTTTCAGGCACAACATCTATTTCCCAAGGTAGCCAAATCCCGTCTAACTTCCTAGAAATGTAATATATGTATGATAATTTTTACAGGAAAGCACATATAATTTAAATGATCTATTTCATAGTTATCTTTATTCACATGCACAAGAGTAGACTTAGTTATAGACTTATCAAGAATACTATATTTAGTTTGGTTTGGATATTTATGTCTAGTTGCTGTTTTATTTTAATTAGAACTCTGCAAAATAAGAAGGGAGGGAGAAAATGTTCATTTACTTTAGTAATAAAATAATAAACTAGACTGTCCATTTAAAAAAACAAGGCAGAGTTCAAGAGATTCGCCAAAACAGTAGTTATTTTTAATTGCTTTTGTACTTATTCCCCATCAATTTTACTAAGATTTTATAATATTTCATAGTGAGAGGATATATATAACAGGTAAATATTTGTTTTTCTCTCTAAGAAAGGAAGAATGAGGTGATGGGATAACTTTACTAGCTTTCAATGCAAACAGTGTTCTCACTTTATAATATGATTTTTCAACTGCTGAGAATATAAAAGTCCTTAATTATAATTTTGTTTTTTGAGTTAGAGTCTTACTCTTGTCACCCAGGCTGGACACTCAGGTCCGCCTCAGCCTTCCAAGTAACCATAACTACAAATGCACACTACTGTGCCTGGCTAGTGTTTGTGATTTATTGTAGAGACAAGGTCTCACCAAGTTGCCCAGGCTGGTCTCGAACCCCGGGGCTCAGGTAATCTTCTCGCCTTGGCCTCCCAAAGTTCTGGGATTACAGGCTGAGCCACTGCACCCAGTCTATAATTTTTAAATAGTAGAAATTCTAATATTGTAGGAAACTCCTGATAATTATAACAGATAACACTTATATATGATATGTAATAAAAATGATACCTAATATTGAACAGCACTATATGCTAGGCACTGTTCTACACATTTTGTATATATGAACTTATCCTCACAACTACTCTAAGAAGTTAGAATTATTACTATTTCCACTTTATAGCAGAACAAACTGCAGCATAAAGAGGTTAGATTTAAAACCTGGTAGTCTAGCTCTAATTCTCTCCCCTTAGCTACTATGCTATCTCCTCCCTAGTACAGAAATAAAAGATTCGGCTTCCTATTTTATTAGAAACCCTTCCTATCAAAACTTTTAAAAGATACCTAAGGAACACTCCACCACTCCACCCAACAACCATGGATTATACATTCTACTCATCACCTCATGGAATGTTCTCCAAGATCGACCACATCCTTGGCCATAAATCAAGTATAAACAAATTTCATAAGATTGAAATACTGTCATGTACTTTCTCAGACCACAGTGCAAAAAAAATAAGTATCTGGCCACTCCCCAGATTCCTACAACAGCCAAAATGGTGAAACAGATCGATAGCAAGTTCTCTTTTTAGGATGACGTGGAAGCAGGTGATGAACTTGTTGCAGTTTACTTCTCAGTGATGTGGAGTGGGCCTTGCAAAATGATCAAGCCTTTCCTTCATTCCCTCTCTGGAAAGTATTCCTGTGTGGTGTTCCTTGAAGTGGATGTGGATGACTGTCAGGATGTTGCTTCAGAGTGTGAAGTCAAATGTATGCCAACCTTCCAGTTTTTTAAAAAGGGACAAAAGGTGGGTGAATTTTCTGGAGCTAAAAAGGGAAAGCTTGAAATCACCATTAATGAATTAGTCCAATCATGTTTTCTGAAAACGTAACCAGCCATTGACTATTTAAAATTTGTTTTTTTTTAATTTACAAAATGTATGATATGAAGACTATATAGCCACCTGCCATTTGATCATAAATGACAATAAAATATTAATTTTAAATAAATAAATAAATATCAATACCAACAAGGTTCTCCCAAAACCCACAAAGACATGGACACTAAACAGCATGATGCCGAACAACTCCTGGATCAACATGGAAACCAAAGAAGAAATTAAAAGATTCCTGGAAACAAATGAAAAGGAAGAAACACCTTACCAAAACCTCTGGGATGCCATGAAATCAGTACTAACAGGGGATTTCATATCTCTATGAACACATATGAAGAAAATGGTAAGACCACAAGTTAAGAGCCTAACAAGTCACCTAAGAGAGGTTGTAAAAACAAGAACACCAAAACTCCAACTTAAGCAGAAGAATCCAGATCACCAAAATAAAAGCCCAAATATGGAACACAGAAGACAAAAACATTATAGAAAAAAAAAAAAAATCAATGAAAAAAAGCTAGTCCTTTGAGAGGATAAACAAGATTGATGAACCTTTAGTAAGACTGACCATAAAAATGAGAGAAAAAGCCCAATCAGAAATACAAAAGATGAAGCCACAACTAACCCTGAAGAAATACAAAAGATTATCAGAGAATATATGGTACACTTGTATGGAAACAAACTCAAAAACCTAAGTGAAATGGAAGACTTTCTGACAGCACACAACCTCCCAAGGTTAAAGCAAGAAATTGAGACCCTAAGCTGGGCTCGGTGGCTCAGCCTGTAATCCCGCACCTTGGGAGGCTGAGGTGAGTGCATTGCCAGAGCTGGCGGGTTCGAGATCCGCCTGGGTAACTTGGTGAGACCTCATCTCTACAATAAATCAAAAAATCAGCTGGGCATGGTAGTGTGTGCCTGTAGTTCCAGCTCCTTGGAAGGCTGAGGTGGAAGGATCACCGGAGCCCAGCAGGTCGAGGCGGCAGTGGCCGGGAGCAGCCACTGCACTCCAGTCTGGGCAACAGAGTGAGACTCCAACTCAAAAAAAAAAAAAAAAAGAAAAGAAAAAGAAAGAAACTGAGACCCTAAATAGACCAATAACAATCCAGGAAATTGACTTCATCATAAGAAAATTACCTGCAAAAGAAAAGCCCTGGACCAAACTGTTTTCCAGCAGAATTCTATAAAACATATAAGAAAGAGCTGATACCAATTCTATTGAAAGCATTCCTGGCAATTGAGAAAGATAGAACACTTCCCAAATCATTTTATGAAACTAGCATCACATTGATACCAAACCAGGTAAAAGATCCAACAAAGAAAGAAAACCACAGGCTAATATCCCTAATTGAACATAGACATAAAAAATTCTCCAAGATTCTAGCAAACAGCATCCAACAAAACATCTAAAAAATTATCCACCACGACCAAGTAGGCTTCATCCCCAGGATGTAGGTTCAATATCTGAAAGACCATAAACATAACTAACTACATCAACAAATGTAAAAACAAGAATCATATGATTATATCTTAGATGCAGAAAAAGCTTTTGATAAAATTCAGGGTTGCTTCTTGATAAAAACCCTTGAACACCTAGGCATAGATGAAACATACCTCAAAATAGTAAGGGCCATCTATGATTAAACCCACAGCCAATATATTGTTGAATGGACAGAAATTGGAAGCATTTCCCCTGAAAACTGGAACAAGATAAGGCTGCCCACTCTCACCTTTCCTGCTCAACATTGTGTTGGAAGTCCTAGCTGTAGCAATTAGACAAGAGAAGGAAATCAAGGATATCCGAACAGGAAAAGAGGAAGTTAAGTTATCCCTCTTTGCAGAAGACATGATCCTATACCTTGAAAATCCAAGAGAATTTGTCAACCTCCTTGCACTGATAAAGGACTTTGGCAGAGTCTCAGGGTATAAATTAAACATGCAAAAAACAGTTGCATTCTTAAACACCAACAATAAACAGGCAGAAACCCAAATAAAAAGCACAATCCCAGCTGGGTTCGGTGGCTCAGCCTGTAATCCCACATCTTTGGGAGGCTGAGGTGAGTGGATTGCCTGAGCCCGCGGGTTCAAGACCCGCCTGGGCAGCAAGACCTCATCTCTACAATAAAACAACAACAACAAAAAATCAGCCAGGCGTGGTAGCGCATGCCTGTAATTCCGGCTACTTGGAAGGCTGAGACGGAAGGATCGCCGGAGCCCAGCAGGTTGAGGCTGCGGTGGCCGGGAGCGGCCACTGCACTCCAGTCTGGGTGACAGAGTGAGACTCTAATTAAAAAAAAAAGCACAATCCTATTCACAATAGCCACAAGAAAAAGAAAAAGAAACACATTGGCATCTTTCTAACCAAAGAAGTGAAAATTGTTTTTTTTTTTGAGTTGATTAGTGTGTATGGTGCTAGGTAGGGATCAAAGACCTAAATATAAAACCTCAAACTATAAGAATCCTAGAAGAAAATGTAGGAAACACCCTTACAGAAATTGGAATAGGCAACCA